TCAGTTGTGGGGCTTGAACTCTGGGCCTGGGTGCTGTCCCTGAGCTCTTCAGCTCAAGGCTATTGTTTTACCACTTGAACCACAGTGCAACTTCGGTTTTCTGGTGGTTCATTGGAGATAAAAGTCTCATGGACTTTCCTGCCAGGGCTGGCTTTGAAGCACAATCCTCAGATCTCAGCCTTCTGGGTAGCTACCATTATAGGCATGAGCCACCAGCACCTGGCTTTTACTTTTTTTTTTGTCGTAGGGCTTGACTCTGGACCTGGGTGCTGTCCCTGAGCTCTTCAGCACAAGGCAAGCACTCTATCACCTGAGCCACAGCACCACTTCTGATTTTCTGGTGGTTAATTGGAGATCAGAATCTCACGGACTTTCCTGTTCAGGCTGGCTTTGAATTGTGATCCTTAGATCTCAGCCTTCTGAGTACCTAGGATTACAGGCATGAACCACCAGTGCCTGGCTACTTTTATTTTTGTGCTGGTACTAGGTCTTCAACTCAGGGCCTGGGCTCTGTCCCTGGGTTTTTCCACTGAAGGCTAGCACTTTACCACTTAAGCTACAACTCCACTTCTGGCTTTCTGATGGTTAAGTGGAGATGAGAGTGTCACAGCCTGGGCTAGCTTCAAACCTTGATCTCAGCCTCCTGAGTGTCTTGGATTATACCAGTATCCAGCTGATATCCTTATTTCTTCAGCAGTTAGGGGCTAGGCTCTGAAGAACTGATGATTATTTCTCTCAGCTTTGAAGTATATATCATTACTCCATTTTCACCTGAGGTAATTGAGGCCCACAGAAAAGGAGAGAAAGAGATTAAGAGAAGGAAAAAGTAGGAAAGAGAAAAGGTTATTGAATGGTGCCAAGGATGGGAGGTACCTCCACTGTGCTCTGCTGAGCTGACCTCTCTGTTTGGCCTGCAGATGCCACATCATCTCACAGTTCAACCAAGGCTTCTATGATTGTGTCATAGCAACAGATGCTGAAGTCCTGGGGGCCCCAGCCAAGGACAAGCGGCAGGGCCGACGGTCCAAAGGAGACAAGTGAGTCCACATTTCTCTTCTTGCCTCAGCCCTTCCCAGAGAGGCACTTGTTTGTTTATCTATTTCTTTTTTTGTTGTTGTTGGTCAGGGCTTGAACTCAGGGCTTGAGCACTGTCCCTGATCTTTTGTGCTCAAGGCTGATACTCTACCACTTGAGCCACAGCTCCACTTCCAGCTTTTTTGGTGATTAATTATAGAGATGAGCCTCACAGACTTTCCTGCTCTGGCTGGCTTCAAATTGTGATCCTTAGATCTCAGCCTCCTAAGTAGTGAGGATTTTGCTTGCGCCACCAGCACCTGGCCCAGAAAGGCTTTTGAAAGACTGAAGACAGACTCCTTGGCACTAAAGAAACCCACAGGCCCTTTGTCACTGTGGATTTGGAGAAGAAAGTGAGGGGACATGTGCTGCATATATGAGGGAAGTATGATGGATCCAGCTAGGTTGGAGTCAAGGCATTGCTATTGTACAGGGGTGACTGTCCAGCTTGCAGGGAATATGTTTCTAATGGGAAAAGGGAAGTTCTCCTGGTCTGTCTGCCTGGAATTTGTCACCTTGTGGAGCAGGTCACCTTGTAAGGGAAGAGTCATACTATTGCCCCAGAGCTAAGATCACAGCAAACATTTGGACATGTTTTCTTGTCAGGCCACTCAAGATACCCTAACTCCTAGAATAGTTCTAATGTAGAATAGTCTAGTGTATGCCAGGGTCTTATCTTCAGGCTTAGTTTAGAGGCATTTTTGCTGATTAAGCTTGAGAACACCTTTGCAGAAAAGAAGGGTCTAGCTGAAATGGAGCTAATTCCACAGGGCTTCTGATCCAGAGGCAGGTGTGGCACGGGGTATAGATTTCCACCATGTGTCTGCTGTGCTCAACTTTGATCTTCCTCCCACCCCTGAGGCCTATATCCATCGAGCTGGCAGGTAGGAGGGAGGAAGTGTGGTGGGCATGCTGGCGGATGGACTGGGTGGGCACAATCTACAGGCCAGAGATGCAGGCTGTCTTTTTCCTTTGCAGAACAGCACGAGCCAACAACCCAGGCATAGTATTGACCTTTGTGCTACCTGCAGAGCAGTCCCACTTAGGCAAGATTGAGGAGCTGCTTAGTGGAGGTGAGAGCCCTGGATTTCATGGCCACAGGCCTGGGTCAGAGCCAGAGTTCAGCTGCAACACTTGAAACCCATGGTAGTATGGGGGCATGTGCCTATACCTCTATATCATTATTGGAAACTTAAGACAGGAGGAGCAGTAGTGACACTGTTAAAAAACACAGGCATTCAATAGCAATGGCATCTCAAGCCTGTAATGTTAGCTACTTGAGAAATGGGGACTGGGGGATCACAATTTGAGGCTAGTCTGAGAATAAAAAGTTAAAAAGACTCAATCTTTTTTTTTTTTTTTCAAATTCTTTATTGTGGTTAAGTAATTACATAATTTTCCAAATTTCATAGTATTGTGGGATAGTGATGCTTAGTTAAAGTCACAAAAACATTCTAACTTTCATGGGGCAAATTGTCTATCATGGTCTATAACATTTATGAGTTCTATGAGCTTTGCAATACACTTATTTCTTCCACATTGGGTGGTATGTACACTTCATTTGTTTTGCACAGCATCAGCTGTTCCTTCTTTCCCACTTGTTCCCTCCCTCCCACCGCTGCCATTGAGTTGCTTAGTTCATTTTGATCAATGAAAAAGACTCAGTCTTAACTAATGGCTCAGTGTTGTGCCCTTCTGTCATCCCAAGCTATAGAGAAAGCATAATGGCTTAGCATAGTGACAACACACCTGTCATCCTCAAAGGACATTGCTTTTTGTGCAACCAAAGGAAGCACAAATGAGATTGCAGTCTAGGTCAGTCCAAGCATAAAGTGAAACCCTATCTTGAAAATAATAAATGCAAAATGGGGTTAGTAGGGTAGCTCAAGTGGTAAAGGGCTTGCTTAGCCATCTCAAGGCCCTGAGTTCAAACCATAATACTACCACCAAAAAAAAGTCTACAGTAGTAATGGCAGGTCACATCCTTGTTCATCCCTTTGTGGCAGGTACTGTCTCCAAGTCTTACTATTTATCCTGTGGTCAAGGAGTGACCAACTAGATACACTTCTCTGACCAGCTCCAAGGCACTTGGTGTTCCTGAAGTCTGACGTCATCATGGTAGCCTTACAGCTAGAGGGAGAGGAGTGTGTGCTGGCACACAGGGCTCAGGGACCCACACTCCCTGCTCATAGGCACAAATGTAATGATGCTGAGTGTTTGGTACCTTGGAGAAGTGGCGAGTTTGACATCTCAGTTTAGCCTTACCTCAGGGAAGAGGAGCAGAAGGCTGCCAGTGGAGGCCTCTCCCACATCTTTACCTGTTCTTCCTTCCCAGAGGGTGAGGCCCCGGTATTGCTTCCTTACCAGTTCCGGATGGAGGAGATTGAGGGCTTCCGCTATCGCTGCAGGGTAAGCTGTGCTTCATGAGGAGGGGAGAGGATGTGGGGGAGGGACTCTGGTCCAACAATCATATCCCATTGCTGCGCATGCCGTATAAAGGAGGATGGGTGACCTGGCCACTTGACTTTCAATGTCTACCTTCAGGATGCCATGCGCTCCGTGACCAAACAGGCCATCCGGGAGGCAAGATTGAAGGAGATTAAAGAGGAGCTTCTGCACTCTGAGAAGCTCAAGGTGAGAGGATGGGAAAGGGAGAATCAGGTTAGGAGGCTGTCTGAACTCTCAGTGGTAAGTAGCCAAGAACTTGGCTGTGTGCTGGTTACTAGCACAGGTGGAGAGAAAACTGGCCAAGAACCATTAAAGGGAACTAGTCTCTTTGGCTAAATGGAGAACTGGTATAACCCTGAGGTGGATACAGAATTTCAAGTTCTTTTTTTTGGTAGGGGGGCATGAACTCTGGGCTTGGGTGCTGTCCCTGTTTTCTTCAGCTCAAGGCAGCTGAAGCTAACGCTTGAGCCACAGCGCCACCTCTGGTTTTCTAGTGGTTTATTGGAGATAAGAGTCTCATGGACTTTCCTGCCCAGGCTGGCTTTGAACCATGATCCTCAGATTTCAGCCTCCTGAGTAGCTAGGATTACAGGCATGAGCCACCAGTGCCCGGCAGAATGTCAAGTTCTTGCTGGGCAGTGGTGTCTTGAGATTTAATCTGAGGATTGAAGTTCAAAGCCAGCCCAGGCAGGAAAATCTGGGAGACTCCTATCTCCAATTACTACCAAAAAGCCAGAAGTGTGGCTCAAGTGGTAGAGCTCCAGCCTTGTGTGAAAAAGCTAAGGGCAATGCCCAGTCTCTTGAGTTCAAGCCCCTGTATTGGCACAAAAAAATGATCACGTTCTCATTCGCTCAGTACACTAGTGAGTGTGCATAGTCACACGTACATCCATACTTATCACATTAGTTGGGAGCCAAAAGATGCCCTAGAGCCATCCACTGGAGCTTGCCAGAAGAGCACAGATGGAGGCTTAGCCAGAGAAAGAACCAGGAGCTGTGTGTGGGGGGGGGGGGGGGGGGTGCTGGGGAACAGTCTATAAGATGACACCAAATGAAAGCACCTAGGTCCTACTCTTTGTGGCATGGAGGGGAATGTGGACATGTCACAGGCATGGATGTCCTTGTATATGCTATAGGACTCAGAGCAACTAGCATCCCATTACCTCTGGGCTGGGACAATGACTGGAAGAAAAAAATGGAAGGAGAACTTTCCATGATGTCTGTCAGTTGGCTGTAGGGCTTGAGCTCTGGGCCTGGGTGCTGTTCCTGAGCTCTTCAGCTCAAGGCTAGCACTCTTGAGCCACAGTGCCACTTCCCATTTTCTGGTGGTTAATTGGAAATAAGAATCTCACGGGGCTGGGAAGGTGGCTTAGTGGTAGAGTGCTTGCCTAGCATGCATGAAGCCCTGGGTTCAATTCCTCAGTACCACATAAGCAGAAAAAGCTGGAAGTGGAGCTGTGCCTCAAGTGGTAGAGTACTAGCCTTGAGCCCAGAGAGGCTCAGGGACAGAGCCCTGACCCTGAGCCTCACAAAAAGTCTCACAGACATTCTTGCCTGGGCTGGCTTTGAATCACAATCCTCAAATTTCAGCCGCCTGAGTAACAAGGATTACAGCCCAGCACAATTTTCATGCCTTTTAAACTCTAAACCACATTGATATATTTTCCTTTCAAAAACTCACTGTGAATTACAAAGAAAAAAAAATACTAGCTAAGTTCTGGTGTCTCATGCCTGTAATCCTAGTTACTCAGGAGACTGAGATTCGAGGATCATGGTTTGAAGCCTGCCCAGGCAGGAAAGTCCAAAACACTCTTATTTCCAATAAACTACCTAGAAAAAAAAACAGAAATGGTGCTGTTGCTCAAGTTGTAGAGTGCCAGCCTTGAGAAAAAGAATCTCACAGTGCCTAAGACCTGAGATTAAGTCCCAAGGATTGGCACCAAAAAAACCCCAAAACAGTGCAGACTCTACTGAGATCTCTCTCTCTCTCCCCCTCTTTCTCTCCTCTCCTCTCTCTCTCTTCCCTCTCTCTCTCCTCTCTCCTCTCTCCTCTCTCCTCTCTCTCCTCTCTCTCTCCTCTCTCTCTCTCTCTCTCTCTCTGTCTGCTCCTGTCAGACATACTTCGAAGACAACCCCAGGGACCTCCAGCTGCTGCGGCATGACCTGCCCTTGCACCCTGCAGTGGTGAAGCCTCACCTGAGCAATGTCCCGGAGTACCTGGGTGAGTCACTGCAGAGTTAGGGCAATGTGATGGGGGAGATGGCCACTGTGCCTGCCTCATGATTAGGGAAGCTAGGAGAGGGACAGGACCTGGACTCCTGGGGCAGAGCAGTCTATATGGACACAAGCTCTCCTGGAGGATAGTCCACCTCCCCTCCCATAGTAGCTGTGATCAGGAAGAGATCCAGGGACAGAGCCCAGCAGTCTCTGGGTAGTGCCTGAATGATTGGATGGCATGCTGTATGCTGAAGGTAGGAATTTTCTTTTTGTCTTGTTTGTTTATCTGTCTTTAGGAGGGTAAGAGGAGGCACAGAAATGGAGGGATAAAGGGTGAATTAATGCAGCAGTGGTACTCACTAGACACTATGTTGAAAATGAACTATACAACTGTGGGTGGGAATGGGAAATGCTGTGAGGGAAGGGGTTATATTGTCCAAAAAGAAATGCACTTTTCTTTTTGTCAGTCCTGGAGCTTGAACTCTGGACATGGGCACTGTCCCCCAGCTCTTCAGCTCAAGGCTTGTGCTCTACCACTTGAGCCACAGTGCACTTCTGTTTTTTTTGGTTTTTTGAGTGGTTCATTGGAGATAAGAGTCTCATGGACTAAAGCGTGGGCTGGCTTTGAACCATGATTCTCAGATCTCAGCCTGCTGGGTAGCTAGGATTACAGGTGTGAGCCACCATCTCCCAGCTTGCCCATCACTTTTATAACAACAACAACAACAACAAAAAACGTAAAATAAAAAGATTGATCAGGACGCTGGTGGCTCACGCCTGTCATCCTAGCTACTCAGGAGGCTGAGATCTGAGGATCGCGGTTCAAAGCCAGCCTGGGTAGGAAAGTCTGTGAAACTCTTATCTCCCATAAACGACTAGAAAACTGGAAATGGCGCTGTGGCTCAAGCGGTAGAGTGCTTGCCTTGAGCTGAAGAGCACAGGGACAGTGCCCAAGCCCAGAGTTCAAAGCCCCACGACTGACCAAAAAAACAAAAAGGATTGAAGAGGCTGGAGACTGGTGGCTCATACTTGTAATTCTAACTACTCAAGAGCAGGAGGTTGAGATCTGAGAACTATGGTGTTAAGCCAGTTTGGACAGGAAAGTCTTTGAGCCTCTGTCTCTCTGTCTCTTTGTCTGTCTGTCTGTCTGTCTCGCTCTCGCTCTCCTTTCTCGTCTCTTTTTTTATGGGGCATGAACTCAGCCTGGAGGGTGTTTTTTTACCCAAGGCTAGTGCTCTACCACTTTGAGCCACTTCTGGTTTTCTGGTGGTTAATTGGAGATAAGAGTTCCACAGACTTTTCCTGCCTGGGGCGGCTTTGAACCACAATCTTCAAATCTCAGCCTCCTAAATAGGTAAGATTATAGGTGAGAGCCACCAGCGCCCAGCTGGTAATTATCAAAAAGACAAAAAAGCTGGAAGTAGAACTGTGGCTCAAGTGATAGCAAAAAATAAAATGCTCAAGGACAGTGCTAGGCCCTGAGTTCAAGCCCCAGGACTGACACACTGCCTTTCTGCCACCACCACTACCTCCCCCATCCCCCAAAAGAAAAAATTAGAAGGGAGCAATAGCCAAGACTTACCCTTGAGCATCAAATGCAGATCTCCCCTACCATGCATAGGTTTTCGTCTGCCTAGGTTAGAGCCAGCTGGCAAGTGTGCTGCTTTAGAGGTGACAGGAAGGTGCGGGTGGGATATACCAGGGCAGAAAAGGCTTAAGTCATAGGAAAAGGGGGGCTTCTGGTTCAGGACCTAAAATACTAGGAGGGTACCTTTGGCCTAAGGTACCATCATAAGAACAAAGTTGCTCACTAGGAGGATATGGCCAGGAGGTTTGGAAGGGCAAGGGTAAGTGGGCAAGGTGTTAATTAAGTGTGGTCTAGCCTGGGGAGAGGGCCTAGGAGATAGTGGGGAAAAGGACAGCACCAATGTCCAGTAAGGCTAAGATGGGGTAGGAGAGGGCTGGGGGCAACAGTAGGGCCAGGGCAGAAATCACTTTTAGATTATTCTGTATTCTCCTTCCCTGCTTTCCTTCCATATTTCCTCCCCTTCCCAGCTCTCTCTGCTGCCCTCCAACCCTCTTTTACTTGGTTTAAAAAACAGTGATTTAGGCTGGGAAGGTGGCTCAGTGGTAGAGCGCTTGCCTTGCATGCCTGAGGCCCTGGGTTCGATTCCTCAGCACCACATAAGCAAAAAGAAAAAAGCTGGAAGTGGTGCTGTGGCTCAAGTGGTAGAGCGCTAACCTTGAGCTGAAGAGCTGAGGGACAGCGCCCAGGCCCAGAGTTCAGGCCCCATGACCGGACCAAAAAAATAAAAAATATAAAAATAAAAATAAAAAACTGATTTAGACAGTGGATTGAGGAGCTCACATTGTTCTTTATGCTTATCTGGTAGCTGATAGCTGTATATCATGAGCTGTGCAAGGCTTCTGGGGGTTTGGGGGGCCCTCCTGGCTTTAGAACCAAATGTTAGGGAGTAAGGGTAGCAGTGGAGGCTAGAGCTTGAGGGTTTGGGGTGAGGATGCCACTAAAGCCCCGCATCTCTTCCAGTCCCTGCCCCTCTACGTGGTCTCATACAACTTCGCAAGAGGCGGAAGAAGCTGTTCTCCAGTAGGAAAGCTAAGGTATGTCTCCTGGGCCATCTTACCCCTTGGTTGTCACTAGGAAATATAGGTGCTTTGCTCTCAGAAGGGGGTAGGACTTACAGGAACCAGGGTATGAGCTGGAGGTACTTGCACTGCTGCCACAGGCGCTGCTCTGCCTCCTCTGCCCTCCTTCGGCTAGTTTCATTGGTTCATGGCATGGGGACCTTGCCAAGTGCCAGCACCATCAACTCTATCTGTCTCCATTTGGACAGTCTGTCTGATTCTCCCAAGTAACCTACACATTTGTCTTTACAGAAGGCGAAGACCCAAAATCCACTGCGCAGCTTTAAGCACAAAGAAAAGAAACCTAGACCCACAACAGTGCCCTCCTGAAGTTGTTTCTTGGCCTTGATTGTGTGGGCTTCTCTACCTAAACCAGGCACGCTCTGGTGCTCTGCCTGGAGAGACTGAAATCTGGAGTGCCATCGTGCCTGATAACAGAATAAAGGTTCCAGCTGGCCCAGGTGGTGCCTCTGGCATGTTGGAAAAGACTATTTCCTCACGCCTCTGGAATTGGAAGACTAGAAAATAGCAATTCTTGGCCCTGTTGCTGTATGTGGTGCTGCATGCGGCCCACACAGGTTAGCTGTGTGAAACTGACCCCAGGACAGCTCTGAGCAGCCCATGCAGTATGAGGCTGTGGGGGCCCAGAGCCCTCAGCCCAGCTCCTGTACTCCTACTATCTACTCCAACTATAAGGTTGACCAGTGCACCTCCAACATATCACCACAGAGATGCAGAGGGAAGAGTTGCCCATCCCTTAGAAGAGTCAGAACGCAGCTCATATCTGCGTTTCAGATGTATAGGTAGTGTAACACACACACACACACACTCCTGCTATGTCCTACACACACACACACAACACACACACAAACACACACACCTGCCATGTCCTAGTCTGAGCAGCTAGCTTCCTTCTCAGCCTGAAACCTCTGTCTGCTGGCTTTTGGACCAGGCTACCTCACCCTGCCCTGCTGGAGGGCCTGGGGCATGAGTGCTCCAAGTTTGGTGTCTTGTCCATGTCTGGTGAAACATTATACACAAACTATTCCCTTGATTTTTGTCTCATATGCTATTACTTAAGTCACCCTACTGAGGGCTTATGTCTTAGAACTACTCCAATGGAGAGGCTGGGTTTCCTCCAGGGAGATTTTGTCTGTGGGAAGGAATTGGATGAGCATAGAAGTGGCATTCTACGGTATTTTAGTGGGGTCAGCCAAGGTCCAGACTGAGCTGAGAAAGCTGGTGTGGCAACTATTAATTGCCTGAGTAGGTTTCTTCCAGTTTTGCTTTTGTGTGTGTATGTGTGTGTTGGGTGGGGGGAAGGGGGTGCCACTTGCTCAGGGTCTGAGCTCTTTCACTCAAGGCTAGCACTCTACCACTTCTTTATTTTTTGGGGGGGGGGATCTGGTCGTGGGGCCTGAACTCTGGGCCTGGGTGCTGTCCCTCAGCTCTGATGCTCAAGGCTAGCACTCTACCACTTGAACCACAGCGCCACTTCCGGCTTTTTTTATTTTCTGCTTATGTGGTGCTGAGGAATCGAACCCAGGACCTCATGCATGCAAGGGAAGCACTCTACCATTGAGATACCTTCCCAGCCCTCTAACACTTCTTTGAGCCACAGCTCCACGTCTGGTTTTCCAGTGGTTAATTGGAGATTCTCACAGACTGTCCTGCCTAGGTTTGCTTTTTACCTCGCTCTTCCAATCTCAGCCTCCTGAGTAACTCAGATTATAGGCATATGGGAAGGCAGTTCTCATCTTCTGGGTGGGATTACTGAGATTCAGAAATTTCCTGGTGAGTGTAAGGACACAGAGCAGGTGAGACTGGCCAGGGTTTCTAGTTGGCATGTCCAGCAGTCTAGGGCCACTTTGGCAAGGCTGTCTACCTGTTGGAGTAACTTAACGCTGTTGGTTGCTCTCACCACATGGGGGCAGTGTGGCCATATGTGCTGAGGTTGGCCCATGTCTTACCGGCAGATTCTATACATGGGATCTGAATTGACAGAGAGAATGGGAAGAGTCTCATACCTGAGCTATGGGAAGAAATAGGTACTCAGGGTTGATAGGGCTGCCTGTTGCACTCAGTCTGAATGAAGCCTGTTGCTTTATCATACAAACATGACCAATACACCAGCCAGGACTTACATGAGTTCATGGGCTGAGCACTGGATTAGGCGATATGGGCCTGGAATGGACATGGCTGTGGAGGGGGAGGGGTTGGGGGGGTAGTTCTAGAGGCCCGAGGCTTCACAGAGAAGCCAAGACAGTCTGCAGGCTGCAGGGGCCTCTAAGGGAAGGAGAAGTTGAGGGACATCCTTGTCCCAGGTTGGTCCATTTTTCCCCACACCTGAGTCTGGATGATGATTCTCTGGGTGTCTGGACCATGTCCAGGGATCTGGAATTGGGAGGACAAGGCAGGCTGCATGCAGAGACATCATATGAACCATGATGCCCTTCAGGATCCTGAACTCTGACATGGAAGTAGAAAATAGATCCACCAATACAAAGTCCAGGGGATGGTCATGCTGGGAAGCCCAGGACACTGCAGGTCTCAGCTGGTTGGAGTAGATTGCTGGCTTCTTTGAGGAAGTAGGGTTAAGCTGAGACCAGAGGGTGAGAAGGGAGAACTGCATATGCAAATTGCTTGAGGTAGAAGGAGCCAACACATTTAAGTTGGGAAGACGGTGGTTTTCATCAAAGTGTGATAGGAAAAACCAGTGTACTATGGGCAATTTAATCCAGTCAGATTAAAAAGCAAAAGGACTTGAAAAGGCACAAGGCATTTTAAGAGGGAGAACCTGATCAGATAGGGAAGGTGGTATGAGAACAGGGTGTGTCTGGAACCTGTGGACCTTAGAATGTGGAAGGTCCAGATTGGTTCCACCTGCTAATTGCCTGCCTCCAGCTGCCAAGGATTTTAATGACTCAGCTTTTGGGGAATTCATTAAGGGACTTTGGCCTCAGGATTAGTATCCCCAAGAGGTAAAGAATTTCCATACAGGGGCTGGGGATGTGGCTTAGTGGTAGAGTGCTGGCCTAGCATGCATAAAGCCCTGGGTTCGATTCCTCAGTACCACATAAACAGAAAAAGCAGGAAGTGGCGCTGTCGCTCAAGTGGTAGAGTGCTAGCATTGAGCAAAAGAAGCCTGGGGACAGTGCCTAAGCCCTGAATTCCAGCCCTAGGACTTAGATAAATCCATCCAGGAGGTGTAGATCCTCTTCTCAGAATGATGTAGCCCTAGCAAAGAGAGAAGGGGCTGCAAGTTGCTTCTTTTCCATTTGATTTGTGTGTGTGTGTGTGTGTGTGCCAGCCCTGGAGCTTGAACTCAGGTCCTGGGCACTGTCCCTGAGCTTTTGCTCAAGGCTAGTGCTCTACCACTTGAGCCACAGTTCTACTTCCAACTTTTTGGTACTTAATTGAAGATAAGTCTCACACACTTTCCTGCCTGGGCTGGCTTTGAACTGAGATCCTCAGGTCTCAGCCTTCTGAGTAGGATTACAGATGTGAGCTATTGGTACTCTTTTCCATTTATGACTGCTTTTTATCTCATTCACTTTTTTTGTTATTGCATACTAATTATACAAAAGAATGAGTTAGGCCATTTTCATTCATGTACATAATATCTTTTCCATTTTTTTTAAAACAAGGACAAGGGAAGAAGTGGCTATTCATCAGAGACAGTGAGGTGCCCTGGCCAGGTAGACCTACTGAGTGTCAGGTGCCATGCTGGGCACATGTCAAGATTCTTCCTGAAATAGTTTGGAGCTGGACAGATCCAGCCTGCTATTTATCTACCTTAGCCCCCTACAAAGCTACCAAGAAGCAGTGTGAGGGCCAGGGGGGATACAAATGAACTATAAAACAAGACATATCAAAAATATCTTTGAAGCTGGGCGCTGGTGGCTCACGCCTGTAATCCTAGCTACTCAGGAGGCTGAGATCTGAGGATCGCGGTTCAAAGCCAGCCCGGGCAGGAAAGACTGTGAGACTCCTATCTCCAATAAACCACCAGAAAACCGGAAGTGGCTCTGTGGCTCAAATGGTAGAGTGCTAGCCTTGAGCTGAAGAGCTGAGGGACAGGGCCCAAGCCCAGAGTTCAAGTACCACGACCGACAAAAAAAAAAGAAAAACAAAAAATATATCTTCGAGGGCTGGGAATGTGGCTTAGTAGTAGAGTGCTTGCTTAGCATGCATGAAGCCCTGGGTTTGATCCCTCAGTACCACATAAACAAAAAGCCAGAAGTGATGCTGTGGCTCAAGTGGTAGGTAGAGCGCTAGCCTTGAGCTGAAGAGCTGAGGGACAGCACCCAGGCCCAGAGTTCAAGTACCACGACCGACAAAAAAAAAAAAAATATATATATATATATCTTCGAGGTCTGGGAATGTGGCTTAGTAGTAGAGTGCTTGCTTAGCATGCATGAAGCCCTGGGTTTGATTCCTCAGTACCACATAAACAAAAAGCCAGAAGTGATGCTGTGGCTCAAGTGGTAGAGCACTAGCCTTGAGCATAGAGAAGCTCAAGGACAGTGCCCAGGCCCTGAATTCAAGCTCCGGGACAGGCAAAAAAAAAAGGCTTCCAATGAACATCCCAACAGATACTGATTCAGTGGTAGAGCAGCTTGTCTCCCTGTGCCCAGGATGCTGTTTGCAGCCACAGTGGCTGGGCTAGACTATCACCATATTTCGGCAGGAACAGGGATTGAATTCTGTTATTGCCCTTGCGAGGCAAGCACTCTGCCACTGAGCTATGTCCCAATTTTTCTTTGCTGATTTCAGGTTTTCTCCTCTAAGGCTGCTCTGGATAAAAAGGCTTTCAGAATGCCAAGTGCCAGTGGCTTATGCCTGTAATCCTACTCAGGAAGCTGAGATCTGAGGATTGTGGCTCAAAGCCAGCCTGGGCAATAAAGTCCATGAGACTCTTACCTCCAATTAACCATCAGAAACCAGAAGTGGCACTGTGGCTCAAGTGGTAGAGTGCTCACCTTAAGCTGAAGAGCTGAGGGACAGCGCCCAGGCCCAGAGGTCAAGCCCCATGGCTGACAAAAAAAAAAAAGCCTTTCAGAGAGCTGGGTGCCAGGGTAATCTTAGCTATTCAGGAGGCTGAGATCTGAGGATCTCGGTTCAAAGCCAGCCTGGGCAGGAAAGTCCGTGAAACTTTTTTTTTTTGGGGTCCGGTCGTGGGGCCTGAACTTCCAGCTTTTTTCTTTTTGCTTATGTGGTGCTGAGGAATCGAACCCAGGACCTCATGCATGCAAGGCAAGTGCTCTACCACTGAGCCACCTTCCCAGCCCGTCCTTGAAACTCTTATCTCCAATAAACCATCAGAAAACTGGAAGTGGTACTGTGGCTCAAGTGGTAGAGTACTAACCTTGAGCTGAAGAGCTGAGGGACAGCGCTCAGGCACAGAGTTCAAGCCCCATGACCGACCAAAAAAAAAAAAAAAAAAAGCTCAGGAACAGTGCTCAAACCCTGAGTTCAAGCCACAAGACTGGCACACAAAGACTTTCACTGGGCTTTTCAGAACTGATGTGAAACCCTAATGACATAGCAGTAGATATATGAGGCTCTGGTGTAGTCCAGGCACCTGATGCCAGTTAGGGTCCAACTCTGTGCCAACCTCCTGCCTGCCTCTTGAATGAGGCCACACAGAATGTCCTAAAACTCCCAGGCAAACTGAATAACGTCAGAATCTTCTAAAATACAGGCACTTGGGGCTGGAGATGATCTGGTCCTTGGTAGAGCGAGTGGATGTCTGAGGCCCTGGGTTCTCTCCCTACTGCCACAAACCAATGCAAACCCAGATGCTTTTCTGCAGGCAGAGCTTGGGATTCCACATTTCCTACAACTCTGTACCAGCCAATCCTGCTGGTCCTCCAACCACGAATGAAGGTCTACCACAGCCAAGCACTTTACAGGTTGGAGTAAGTAGGCAATTCAAATCACAAGTCATCTAAATGGTGGTGAGGGAAGGTTGCTTGTTGAACTCTAGTCTGGAAAGTTCAAACCTGTTATGAAGCTATCATTACATCATCCCCTGTCTCTTCCTAGGACA